AAATAGGTGTCCTTTTGTGTGTTTTCATAGGAGATTACTGAAATCGGTTGTGCATAAAAATCGTATGCACGTTGCGCCATTTTTAGTTATTTTTAGAGTTTTTGCATAGTAAAGTGCATCGAGCGGCACACTTTGACAGATATCATCATGCTTCTATTTGTTTTTCGCGACAATTTAACCGTAATTCAGTGTGATTTGATAAATAAGCTAAGAAAACAAATGTGTTTAACCATTTGTGAAGAAATTCGCGAATTACAACGAATAAGAATTGATTTAATTTATATTTGAAATACAAGATTTAAAACCGCTATAACTTTTGTGCGCAGCATCCTAATTTGTGAACGCGAACAGATTTCGAATCAGCATATTTTTCTTAACCTATGTACCAAAAATCATGAATGTGCTCCCAAAAAAATTTTTCAATTTTTTTAATGGAATTTTAAAAGAATTTTGTAATTTCCCATATAGGGCAGCTATATTCAAATCTGAAGCGATGCCATAGATTAGGTAATATTAAATTTAGTACGTTGCGCGATTCGGCCATAATTTGGGTATTTGGTGCACCATTTATTAAAAATCAGACGAATATATGTATATATATATATAACTATATCTGAATCTGAGCCGATTTTCAATAGTGTTCGTCCTTGTGCCAAATAAGTGAGCTGTACGAAATTTTATCTCATTGGGATCATAAATACGGCCTGTAATTTGTTTACAATTTAACATGACAGACGGACGGTCTGACGGACATGCATAAATCGCCTCAGAAAGTGATTATATAATATTCTGAAAAGAAATCATGTGTCTATCTCTTTTTTTTGCCTATTACAAATATATTCCCAAAGTCATAATACCCTGTACTATAGTGTGGTGAAGAGCATAAAAATGACAAATGTAGAATAAGATAAGAGTGTTTTTTGAACAAATTTGTTTTTTTTTTTATTTCTATCGACATGACAATTTATTTTCTATAGAAACAATTCTTTTTTGTAGTGATATCTAATTATTAAATTTATGTTTTGTTAAATTCTATTTTCAATTTTAAAATTAATCTGAACTTATACCTCACGAGCATTGATTTATTCAGGAGGGTTACACTGAAAATCAATATCAGCAATATTCTTATCATTCTTGAAATCATTTTTTTCGCATTTTATTTATTTATTTTTTTATAAGTATATTTAATTAGCATCTGAATGATAAACACTAATTCTCTGTTTGTACTGATGGAGCAAGCCATGAATCCGAAATTAATAAAGGCAAAAACAGCTGTATTTTTCACTCTCTCTAGTTTAATGCAAAAAATGTCGACGGTATTGTAGGAGGATGGCTATTATTGGTTCGAAGAAAAATTTGTGAGTTAACGAATGGAATGGAAGGTTGTAGGATTGAGAAAAATAATAATGGCATGGACAAATTTCCAAAACGAATTAAATAATAAAAAAATAAAAAAAAATACTTACGTTCTTAAGTTTGGCCGGTTGTTCATGCTTTGAAAAATAATGTCCCAAATTATAGACACTCATGGTAGGAACATTTAACAGGAATCCGAAATGCTATGTTGTAACCACTTCAATAAGAATATTCGGTTAAAAATATATCAATAACGAAAAATGCGCGAGACCTTGGACCGATATAGACAATTTTCATGAAAAAAAGTGTTATACTCTGCAATACCAAATTACAATGGGAACGTACAGTGGGAAAATGCGGCTGAACATATGGATCTATATTGATAGTTGTCTAAACTAAAGCAACTTTCTGATTTGATCCTTTACCTTGCATCCTGAACCTTTGGTAAGATGATATGTCTATATTTTCTTCAGCGAAATGGACCATAGGTTTTTCCATTTGTATAAACCGATCCATTACTTCATAAATCTCGTAAATATAACGCGCTTCATAAAAAGAACACCAGCTCAAGACCATTATTGACCCTCCTCCATGTTTCCCAGTACCCTTGCAATACTATGGCATAAGCCTTTAATTTTTGGACTTTCTCGCGGTATTTTTTTTAATATTTGAGTTTTAATATTGAAGTTTAATTCTTGTTCAAAATATATGATCTTAGTATCATTTAAAAAGGTGTAGGTAATATAGTCCCAATTTCAAGATTTTTTCTTCATATTTTTTTTCATATCTGAGTTTTAATATTGAAGTTTAATTCTTGTTCAAAATTTAATAGACCAATATGTAATCGTAGACATAAAAAAATAATATGAAGAAAAATTCTTGAAATTGGGACTATATTATCTACACCATTTTAAATGATACTAAGATCATATCTAAGCGACCGAAATTTTCTGTGTCTTTATACAATGACGAATCCTATATTGGAAGTATACAATCTGGAAGTATACCATGGAGTGTAGTTGGACTTTTCCTTTACACAGTGTATTCATCTGATATCTCATGTAATTCTGATGTCACTATTGTCGATGATAAATCTGTCTTGGCCACAAGCATTAAGCTGGTAAAGTTTCCAATACAGTTCGAAGACAACATGGTCAACTAAATCAATGGTTAAATAGGTGGAACATAAAATTCAACCCTGAAAAGAAAATTGTCCATCCCTCTCTCTTTATGGAGCTGCAATCCCTACACGAAACTTTGTGAAGTATTTTGGGTTCCGAATTGATCGACGTCTGTCATGGAAAGAGTACATACAATCAAACTGAACAGATATAGACATAATAAAATATGTATTGATTAACTGATCAAAAATCTAAACTAAATTTTTGAAAATAAGTTCGATTTTACAAATCTATTTTGAAGGCTGTGTGGTCATATGGTATCGATTTCTTGGGTTCTGGGACCAATTGGTTCTTGAACAACAATTGTTCAAACATTTAAGGATAAAATAACTAAGCGAAGTACCAACTACTTCATCGGATCAAGCAAAAATAAGTTGGTTCTAGGTGAGAACTACCCCAAACACGCAGTCTATGAACAAATATCGATTATTTATACCCATAAAACACTTCCGTCATCGAGGCGTCTTTTAAATTAGCTATAAAATATATACAAATAATAATCGTGTAGTTAACCTATGTACTCCAATTGGTAATAACTAAAATTAGAAGATCAGCTGCCTTAGTTTTATATTCATACTAGCAAAGTACCCGCTACTTCGTATGCGGAAAGGAAATAAAAAAATATTTCATATGGAAATCGTGAATACCGTATAATTAGTTGTACTATGGTTCTGAATTCCACCTCTATTCCTACATTTAATATCAAGTTTATTACCATTAAGTACTCTTCATACACATAAGCACTATTTTCCGAAAGTATGAATTTCCAAAACCTCCAACTTACCCTAACCCTACAATCCCACAGTGACCCTAAATCCAAGTTTCAGGATTACAACTCTATCGGTTCATTCACAATTCAAATTGTACCAAATTTAGTACACAGTAGTACGAATTTCCAAAACCTCCAACTTACCCTAACCCTACAACCCCACAGTGACCCTAAATCCAAGTTTCTGGATTACAACTCTACCGGTTCACTCACAATTCAATTTGTACCAAATTTAGTACACTGTAGTACGAATTTCCAAAACTTCCTGCAGACCCCAATCATACACCCTAACAGTGATCCTAAATCCAAGTTTCAGGGTTTCAACTCTATCGGTTCACCCTTAATTCAAATTGTACCAAATTTAATACACAGTAGTCCGAATTTCCAAAACGTCCCAATTAACCAAAACAGTTCACCCACAATTCAAATTGTAAACAATTTAGTACACATTAGTAAAAATTTTTAAAACTTCCTACATATCTCGATCTTACACCCCAAGAGTGATCCTGACTCCAAATTTCATGATTCTAGCTCTATTGGTTCGCATAAAATTCAAATTGTACCAAATTTAGTACCATTTAGTACCCATGAATATAAATTACTGAAACTGGGTAAAAAATTCCAAAACTACGTACATTCCCAATCCTACACTCCGACGGTAATGTTAATTTCAAATTTCAGGATTCCAGCTCGATTTGTATCTCCAAATTAAATTTGTACCAAATATAGTATCATATAGAACTTTTCGTACACATGAGTACACGCTTTCAAAACCATCTCCTTATATGGACTCTACATCTCATACCTAATTCGCATTCCAAATTTCAAGTTTTTAGCTCTATCAATTCAAATGCAGTACATTTTAGTACTTTTCGGATATTTATAGTTCGAATTTCCAAAAACCCGTTGGTACATCTATCCTACACTCAGCGACCACCAATCCAAATTTCAGAGTTCTAGCTCTACCGGTTCACCAAATACAAATGGTATCACATTTAGTACTTTTTAGTACTTTTCGTACAGTTCTAGTACAAATTTCCAAAAACGCTTCTGTACATCTTCCTAACTTTACATCAGTGACCCACATTCCAAATTTCAGAATTCTAGCTCTTCCCGTTCGCCTAATACAAAGGGTACCATATTTGGTACATTTTAGTAGTTTTCGTACCCTTCTAGTTCGAATTTCCAAAAACCAGCCTTATCTCACGCCTACACACCAACACCAATCCACACTCAAAATTTCAAGCTTCTAGCTTTAGCCGTTTCGTCTGGGCGATGATCTGTCAGTCACTCACTCACTTAACACTAAGCTCTTTTATATATATATATATATATATATATATCTTCCTATTTTTTTTAAATTCCCTGTGTTGTACTCTGCGATTAACCCGCCAACGAAAAATTTAAAAACCCATTTACATACAAAAAATAAATAAACATTTAAAATTGTATTTCTCTTGTGTTTCTTTTTTGTGATCCGAACATTAGCGGCGTGTTGCACCTAAAAATATTTGTACAAAATCGTTAAACATGAATGAGTTGTGTTGTGTTTGGGTGTGTACGCAGGAAAAATCTCGGTATTAGCATCAACATTAACGTGTCGTTATCATCCGGGTGTGTGGTCATCATCAGGATCAGTGTTATTTCGTGGTATAATTGGCTAGCGGGGGTTCGCCACCACATTTGATATGCATTTAATCGTAATAGGCTTGTAAATCTTCAAATATCAGTGTACCATTGTGACGGTCGGTATTCAACGGTGGTAGGGATCTGGATAAGTAACGTTCTTGTTCTCGTTGTTGTTGCTGCTGCTGTTGACGTTGTTGTCTCCTCTCATGACTCAATTCATTCTGGGTATACATCGCACGCCCTTGTAACATTATGAAATCGATTAGCCGCTTGTTCGTTATCATTTTCATGGCATTCGGATCGGTACGTTTGCGTAAATAGTTGAAGCAACAGGTTCTACAAGGAAAAATAAAGGGGAATTGTAGACGGTATATCATGGACTTATTGAGGGGCGTGTAAAATACACTCACCTGAAATGTTTAGTTCCACAAGCACTGGCACACTCATTACCACAAGAATCGCATGGTATGGCCGATGAGGTGAAAATCTGCATGAATATTACACCTTCAAAGAATTGAAATATTATTTAAGATGATATAATTTTTGATATGAAATATATATATTAAGAATCTATGTAACAACAAAAAAATGGTGTTCCTCAAAATTCAAAATCAAATCGTATATATCTGTGTAAAAATGCGGCTAAATTACGAAAAGTCCGAAGGAGAGGGGTATTATAACTCCGACTGGAATATTTTGAGGTTCCAAAAGGAAAAAAGGGGCATTCTTCAAATATTAGAACTAGCCTATGATTATATAATGCATAGGAATCGTGACTCCCATATTCCCATCAATAAGAAATATTTTCAGCCGGTTTTCATAATACTTCTAAAAATAGTACCGAGCCGCACCTTCGATTCGCTGATCAAATGTATGGCTCGACAGATAGCATCCTATCGGAGTAATTCAGTGGATGTATAATTGAAACGCCAATAGTATTAGATGTAAGTTGATACGATGATTCCAACGACGAAAATGTCGAAGTTTCGCATTGGAAACCCCATAAAGTTATATGAACAACAAAATTATATGTTGTCGATTTAGCCACAATTATTCCGAAAACATCTATCGACAACGCCGACTGACACTTTTTTATACCCTCCAACATAGTATGGAGGGTATATAAATTTTGTCATTCCATTTGTAACTCATCGAAATATTAATTTCCGACCCTATAAAGTATATATATTCTTGATCAGGGTAAAATTCTAAGACGATCTAGCCATGTCTGCCCGTCTGTTTTAATCACGCTACCTTCTGAAGGAGTTGAGAGTCGTCTTTTATCTGCAGGAAGGTCAAGTTCGAAGATGGGCTATGTCGGTCCACGTTTAGGGATAGCCCCCATATAAGAACTCCTTCCAATTTTCGATATTTTGGGGTTCTTGAGCGCGCTTTTCAACCGAATTCGCTGAAATTTGGTACATTGGGTTCTTTTTGGGTACCAAATGTCTCCACTAATTATATAAATTAACCGATATTATAAATATCGATCCACTTTTTCTGGTACCCCCCCATATAAGGGCACCCTCAATTTTTGGTATTTTTTGGGTTCTTGAGCGAGTTTGTCAATCGAATTAGCTGTAATTTGGTATTTTGTAGTCGCATAAGGTAACAAATCTTCCTACAAAAATTATTAATATTTACCGCCTTTTAGGAGTAGTTCCCATATAACCCCCTTCTTATATTAAAATAGTTAGCTGATTAGTTCCATGTGTAGGGGTTGTCCCCATATAGGCGTATTCTATCATAGAATAGGGGATAGTCGTTACTCGAAATAGTCAGTTTTATCCTACAAATTATGGAATTATAAGACGATTCAGCATTCCGCTTTCTAAGGAAATCGTTTTAAAAACCCGAACCTGACGATAATGAAATATATCGGCCAAAATTTAGGCATCTCCCCCATATAATTATCCGTCCTGAAAAAAAGAATTGAGACACGAAGCAAAAAATATTGGGTTCCAAATTGACATATGTCGGTATTAATTAGGCATAGCCCTCATATAATTATAACCCCATATATTCGCTAATTCCTACAATATGTAATCTAACTTTGTAATTTAAATTGCAGTATTTTGAGGATTGTATCTTCTACCATGTGTTATTAGTATCAGTCCACGCATTGGGGTTTTCAATAAAAATTGCTGAAATTTGTATTTGGTGTACAAAATGGTTTAGATAAACCGGATTGTAGAATTATCGGTATAGGTTGACTTTTTTGAATGTTCCTTATATTTTTTTCATTTCAAGTGTCTGCCAATACCTATGGTGAAGGGTATCCAAAGTTCGACCCAGCCGAACATAACGCTTTTTCACTTGTTACTTCTTAAAAATTTTTTTTGTCATACTTACAAAACAACAGCACATGAAAATGCACCTTATAATGCATTTTTTCTTTGGATTTACTATCACTCATCGGAACTCCAATATCCAGTAAATTCATTCACAATTTGTAAATTTATTTTTGTTTTTTTTACAATATTTTTATTTTTTTTAATCACAGACTCCAAAGACAACTAAACTTCACAAAAAGATTTCTTACACTACTGCTCCCAGTCAAAGGTGAAGTGATAAAGACTGAAACCCTGAAAATCGCTGCTTTTATATCCTTGAAGATATTGTCAATATTTTCCTTCAAAGGCAACACCAGGAAGAAAGTCATCGAAGCATGCACAAATAAGTTTTTTATTTATGCATACAAATGTACATTGTGGATGGCATCATGTTCAGGACATTATATCAACCCACATTGTTTTGGCTACTGACCATGTTCTTATAACCCTTTTCGTTGTTTCATTTTTTATTTCCAAACACTTGCATAGAATTTTAAATATTTTCTTTATTTGTGTACGACGCACTTCTTCTTTGCACACTACAACGGCAACAGGTGGTGTTCAAACTTTTAAATCATGTTCAGATTTATAATCGGCTAACAAAGTTGATCAATAACTTTTAATGTGAGGAATATTTTTTATGAAATTGTTGGTGGATTAAGGTGACAGGGTGTGATAATAATTTTGAGATAGCCGAATATTCGTGACACTTCTTGAATTGTAATGAAAATATAATAATGGCAATATCTTCATTCAGTTTGCACTTGAAAAATCAAGGAGCTTCAATAACACTTTCTTATTTTACCAATCATTCTAAATAATCGTTTTATAAGAGGATGAATTACAGTCGACCATACATACTCACAACACTACAATTGCATCCTTTATGAACATCAACAATATGCATTATGACAATGGTCATTTGCATCTTGGAAAACATCTTTCTGTGGCTGTCATTTCTATTCAAATATCCTCACATGTAGAAAGATAAAAGAACAAAAAAATGTATTCTTAAAACCTTTTCATTCAAAATTTCAGTCACATGTTTTATTCTAGTCTCTAGATTTATTCTAAAGTTTTCCAAAAGAAACATAACATCCGAAACTTGCAAAATTTGTTCAACAGGCATGCTAATGAAGCAATAATACCACAACCAATATAATTCAACTGTGTCTGAAGTAGGACTTCTACATAAAGTCATTTATGTTACGTATATAAAACGTTTTAGACGTTCGATCGATACGAGGAGCGAATATCGATTCGGACCATTTCCTTGTGGCAGCCAAGGTTCACACCCGTCTTAATGTGGCAGCAAAGGTGCGATCTAATGCAACACGTAAACTCGACGTCGAAAAGCTGAAAACACAACAGATAGCATAAGCCTAATGCGTTCAATTTACCCAACTGTTTGACGAAAGCACTTCTTTTCCCGATAATAATACAGAAGCACAATGGCAGAGAATTGCCCACTACCTACAAATTGCAGCAAAAGTAACACTTGGGGTCCAAAGACCACCATCAAGAAACCCGTGCTACGATCAGGAGTGTCGTAATGCTACTGAGGCGAAAAACGCAGCGTATATGGCAACGCATGGTCAGTAGCATGCACCAGCTGATTTGTACAATTTGGCTAGAGGAATGCGTGCAGGTCGTGTGACCTGTTCAACATCCATCTTGAAATGATCACACGAGATGATAATGTGAACAGATATAGCACTAAGTACACTAAACAGCATATGTTACTCGCCTACGCCGACGTCATCGACATGATGGGTCGAACATTACGAGCGGTAAAAGCTACATTTGAACGAATTGAGAAGGAGTCTGCCAATGAGGGATTGGCAGTAAAAGGTGAAAAGACCAAGCTGATGGTGTCAACGCGCAAGACGTCCAGTACACTTGGGCCAACTGAGGAACTTAAAAATATATACATATATACTCTGTACCGCCATAAACAAAACTAATAACATCATCTTTTAAATCCGTAGGAGAATAGTGTTGGCCAACAGATGCTACTATGGTCTGAGTAAGCAACTCAAAAGCAAGGCCACCTCTCGTTAGACCAAACTCACACTCTACAAGACGCTGATACTACCCGTGCTATTATATGGATCTGAAGCATGGGTACTTGCGCAAGCAGATGAGCCAGCTCTTGGAGTGTTTGAGAGAAAAATTCTCCGGAAGATCTATGGGCCGATCTGCGTCGATGGTGAATATCGCCGTCGAATGAACCATGAGCAATACCATCTACTCTCGGACATCGACATAGTCAGACGGATCGAGCTGAGTTGGCTGGGCCATCTTGTGAGAATGGATGAAGATGTTCCAGCTCAAAAGGCACATAAAAACGAGCCAAGTGAACGTAGAAGGGGAAGGCCACGAATCCGATAGAAAGATCAAGTAGAAGGCAACATCTCGGAGAATGGTCTGTCAATTTAGAAATAACTGAATATAGAAGTTCTACATAAAGTCCTTTTTGTCACCTATAGAAAATCGGTATTATATCTGTTGAGCATTTATTGATGCGTTAAGGACCTATATGGAGCGATACCTCCTCTTGTTACATGTTAATGCTCTTTTAGGAAGATATAAGTTTGGGGAAAAAATCCATTATTTTTTCGGCAGATGGCTGTACTGATAGATTTCTCAATTTCAGATTTATGCTAGTTGAAAGAATGACATTTCTCAATAAAAAAATTAGTTTGTTGTTGCTGTTTGCTGTTGCAGGGTGTTAAAAAATGGAAGTGAACAAAGAGACAATTCGCTACATTTTACAGTTTTTCTTTGACAAATGCGAAAATGCAATCCAAGCGGATAAAATTGTGAATGGTGTTCCGATACTGTAACAGCCAATTATGTGTAATTTTGGTTTCGTGGATTCCGTTCAGGAATTTTTGATATTAAAGATGCACCTTGCACAGGTAGGCCGGCCGTGGAAAATGTCGATAAAATCGACGAAATTACCTTAAAAATGGCAACAAATCATGCAACAAAACGGTGCATTTTTAGCCCAAATCGGACATTCCGAAGCACGTTAAATAAAGTCCTTTAGTTCATATAAAAATAATGGATTTCTTTTCCCCCAAACCAATATTTAATTTGAAGAATCTCTCTAACCCTTGGTGTATTCTCCTAATTTGTGGGGGCTTCCGAAAGAAAGAATGATATATCATAGATATATCATCTGTATTTCGTTCGAATATTGATATACAGTGCCGGTCACGAAATTAGCACACACCAGAAGGGAGGAGTTAATCAGAACACTCCTCCTTCTTCGAGTTTTTGTTTATTTTTATAAATATTTATCGATCTCTAGTTAAGTAGTGTTGGCGGTTTATTTGGGATACCATTTGTATTTTGTTTTTGGAAATAGTCAGACTGAATCCAGTTTGTTGTTTTCATAAAAAACAACTATTTATTAGTGGGGAATGTATGGAATTGTTTGCCGAGGGTAAGGCAGGGAAGACTATAGTTTCGGATCACGCCACTGATCCTCATCAGTTCCCTTAGGCAAACAATGCCATACATTCCCCACTAATAAATATAAATCAAGCCGTCATGCCGATGAACCCCTTTTTATACCCTTCACCACACTGTGGTACAGGGTATTATGTCTTTGTGCATATGTTTGTAACAGACAAAAATAATCGAGATAGACCCATGGTTCCTTTTGAGAATATGCATAGAATCACTTTCTGAGTCGATTTATGCATGTCCGTCCGTCCGTCCGTCCGTCTGTAGATGTAAAATTGTAAACAAAGTACAGGTCGCATTTATGATCCGATCGCTATATATCTTTCGATTTGCACGAAAATTGGCACAGCGTAATGAATTAGGTCTAGAATGATGTGTGTAAAATTTCATAAAAATCGGTTCAGATTTAGATATAGCTCCCATATATATCTTCGTCCGATTTAAGGTAAATTGTGTACCAAAGTCCCTATATATCTTTCGATTTGCACGAAATTTGGCACAGCGTAATGAATAAGGTATAGACTGATGTATGCCAAGTTTCGTGAAAATCGGTTCAGATTTAGATATAGCTCCCATATATATCTTCGTCCGATTTAAGGTAAATGGTGTACCAAAGTCCCTATATACCTTTCGATTTGCACGAAAATTGGCACAGCGTAATGAATTAGGTCAAGAATGATGTGTGTAAAATTTCATAAAAATCGGTTCAGATTTAGATATAGCTCCCATATATATCTTCGTTCGATTTAAGGTAAATTGTGTACCAAAGCCCCTATATATCTTTCGATTTGCACGAAATTTGGCACAGCGTAATGAATAAGGTCTAGAATGATGTATGCTAAGTTTCGTGAAAATCGGTTCAGATTCAGATATAGCTTCCATATATATTTTCGTCCGATTTAAGGTAAATTGTGTACAAAAGTCCCTATATATCTTTCGATTTGCACGAAATTTGCCATAGCATACTGAATTAAGTCTAGAATGATGTGTGCAAAGTTTCGTGACTATCGGTCCAGATTTAGATATAGCTCCCATATATATTTTCATCCGATTTAAGGTAATTGGTGTACCAAAGACCCTATATATCTTTCGATTTGCACGAAATTGGGCATAGCTTACTGACATTTGAGTCTGTAATAATTTGTGCTAAGTTTCATGAAAATCGGTTCAGATTTAGATATAGCTCCCATATATATTTTCGCCCGATTGTAGGTAATTGGTGCACCAAAGTCCCTGGAAATCTTTTCATTTGCACGAATTTTGGCATAGCGTACTGAATTAAGTCTAGAATGATGTTGCAAAGTTTCGTGAAAATCGGTTCAGATTTAGATATAGCTCCCATATATATTTTCGTCCGATTTTATGTAATTGGTGTACCAAAGTCCCTATATATCTTTCGATTTGCACGAATTTTGGTATAGGGTACGTTGGTCAGCTAAGTACTTTGCGTTGTTACGAGAGACATTTGGGTTTGAAAGGTTTTTTGTATAGAAGCAATAGCTTCTGGGGAGAATATCCCAACAAAAAACTAAGGTAACTGATGAGGATCAGTGGCGTGATCCGAAACTATAGTCTTCCCTGCCTTACCCCTGGCAATCAATGTCATACATTCCTCACTAATAAATAGTTCTTTTTT